GCGGTGGGCAGAGGGGACTGGAGTGAGGTTTGGGTGAAGATGAAGAAGAGGGGTTCCCTGAAATGGCACCAAAAATATTTTTGCTGTTAATGATTATATACCAACCTTCTCAAAGCTCAAATGTGTTTTTTTGGGGGAGGCAGCTGATCGGTAGGGGGATCCAAACCCTTGACCTTGGCATTACAAGGCCATGTTCCAACCAACTAAGCTAACTGGCCAGCCCTGGAGATTTAAGGAAGAGAGTGTTACTTTTAATTGCATAAGAGCATAAAGTGTCCTGGAGCAGAGAAAAAGGCAAGGACATGGGTGTGGGATAGGGTGACACATCCCTCTGGAGGCTTCTTACCTTTAAGAATGTGGTCTGTGTGATGGGATGGTTCTGAGAGCAGTTTATTTGATAAAGTCATAGCATTAGGAATGACTTGCCTGGCAATAAAATAATGGCCACTATGCCATATAGAGGGGATCAGAATATGCCACCCCAAAATATGCCACTTTGACAGAAGGGTTATTTTGAGTTGAAGGAAAATGGGAAGACGCAACACAAAGAAAAACTCTAAAGCTGGCCAGTTGGCTCACTTGGGAGAGAACAGGGCTGATAACAACAAGGTCAAGAGTTCGGATACCCATACTGGCCAGCCACCAAAAAAAAAAGAAAAACTCTGTGCCCTCTCCTTCTGCCAGGAAGGGCAGGAAGATTCTTAACCACCAGAGACCTTAGACTCTATCAGCCTAGAGATGCCACCAGAGAAATCTACATAAGACACCTTACTAAAAACAACCCTTACCTTCCATTAGTTTCCCCCATATATTTACCTTCCCATAGTTTGCCACCCTAAAAGCCTAAACCTTTTCCTTTGTTTCTTCTCTACAAATTTACTGTTCTTTGTTAAAAAGCTGTGTAACCCCAAGTTCTAACCATCCCTTTGATCTTTTCCCTTGTGAGGTGTGAATTAATAAACTGTTTTTCTTTTTTTTTTTCCCAGGAGAGGGGGTGGCCAGTACAGGGATTGGAGCCTGGACCTTGGTGTTATCAGCACCATGCTCTAACCAACTGAGATCTAACTAACTGGACCAGCCCTGTTTTTTTCTTGTTAATCTGTTTTTTGTCAATCTAATCTGTAGGACCCTAGGGAAGAACCTAAGAGGATAGTTTTTGTTTTTCTCCCCTACACATACGTTCTATCGCAGTCTTGAACTTTTTTATTTTTGGTATCTCTCTCTCTTTTTAAATCACTTTATTGAGGTATGACTGACATACAAAAAGCTGTACATATTTAATGTATACAACTGATGAGTTTGGAGATAAGTACACACCTGTAAAGCCATCTCCATAATTTATGTCGTGACTATATGCATCACCTCCAAAAGTTTCCTCCTGCCCTCTTTATTTATGACGACTGATAATGATGATAAGAACATTTAACATAAGATCTACCTTCTTAAGAAAAGTTTAAAGATATAATATGGTATTGTTAACTATAGGTACTGTGCTGCACAGTAGATCTCCATGACTCATTGATCACGATAACTGAAAGTTTGTACCCTTTGACTAACACTTTCCTGTATTAGAGTTCTTTAAATGAGAGTACTGTCTGGACTTTGGGATAACCTCACAGACCTGTTGAAAGTTACCTTCTGCAGGGATAATTGTGCATAGTGGTCTAAGTCCTTACAGTCTTTCATTTATAGAAAATTAGAGAAGTTGGAAGGTTACATTTCTATTCAAACAGCTGACTTCTTAAAGCAGCCACTGATTCTTCAGAGGTTGAGATATATACTGATATAAACAGAAACACCTGGAAATATGAATTAACAGCAGAGCAAGAGCTTTTTAAAGCAGAGTTGATAAGTAAGCTGCATGAAGCAGCAGTGCCCACAGGGTCTTTCAATTTCCAAAGCTCTGGGGCACGCAGGGTGTTCAGAGTCCTCGAACAAATCTAATCACACAGTGCAAAGGGATGGAGGAATTCATCTTCGACCCAGAGTTAGCAGTGAAAGGACCACCACTTTTCACTGAATTTTTGATATTTCAGGATACTTATTTGTGGTCGGTCACTTTTTTTTTTGGCAGCTGGCTGGTATGGGGATTGAAAGGTCACATTTTTAGGTGAATCGATTCACTCATCCAATTTATATTTATTTAGAACCCAAGAATCAGAAATAAGAATGGCCTGTTTGGCCTACCATAAGCAGACATGAAGTGAGATTTTTCTAGTCTCATGCACTGAACTACATACCATCCTCACATGATCATTTGATCCTCATATCATTCCTTTGATGTAGGTATCATTATCTTTATTTTATGGATGAAAAAACTGAGGTTCATAGAGGTTAAGGAACTTGCTCCAGGTCACTCAGCAAATATATTGTATAGCCAGGATTTGAATCTAGCGAGGGTCCTAATAGCCAGTTTAGACTTTTTTGCACGGACAACTAACTCATAATTCCGTAGATCTACACAGTCCTTTTAGGTTTTTTTTTTTTTAAAAGATGACGGGTAAGGGGATCTTAACCCTTGACTTGGTGTTGTCAGCACCACGCTCATCCAGTGAGCGAACCGGCCATCCTTATATGGGATCCGAACCCATGGCCTTGGTGTTATCAGCACCGCACTCTACCGAGTGAGTCACGGGCCGGCCCCCTTTTAGGTTTTTGAACTGGGGAATGCCTTGATGAAAATGGATGGAAGAGCTATCTGGTGGCACTAATATAAGATTCACAGAGGTAGGAAAGAATTGGAGTACAGAGAGACGTGGTAGAAGGTTGTGACAACAGTCTAGACATGAGATGGAGTGACTAGAGTTTGGAACTAGCAACCTTGGTTCTAGCCTTTCTATCTGGTCTCTGCCATGACGCTGGCTGCTGGGAAACCTCGAGCTAGTTACAGCCACATCTCTGAAGCTTTGTTACTCCTTTCTAAAATTGGCAGATAAATTGAGACTAGATAACCTCTAGATTCTTTCAAACTCTAAAATTTTGGGGGCCGGCCCGGTGGCGCACTGCTACAGTGCGCCGCTTGGGAGCGTGGTGGTGCTCCCGCCGAGGGTTCGGATCCCACATACAGACCGGTTCCCGCTCACTGGCTGAGCGAGGGGTGGGTGCAGCACCGAGGGTTGCGATCCCGTTGCCGGTCCCGGTCTGGTACGGGCGCGACACTGAGGGTTGCGGTCCATTGCTGGACATGAAAAAAGACAAAAAGCTTAAAAAAATAAATAAATAAATAAATAAAAATAAAAATAAAAAAAATAAAATTCTGCTTGATACCTTTACATCTTAAAGCATTCTAAAGATTTACATATGAAGACCCTAAATATCAGCCCAAATCCATGAGAGAATTTAAATGTAACAATTCTTAACATCTTCTCAAATTACAAAAGAATGGAATTGTTTTTAAGGATGCTTTCTAAACTAAATTATATTGAGACAAGCCAATCATTTCTGCACCTTACCATTTCCTTTGTTTAAAAAAATGATTTGGGTATTGCTGTTGCAGTAGTGGTTGATGGTATTAAAATCAAATAATAATATTACTCTTGAAACAAATGAAATGATTTAAACCTCTCTAAGAAATTTTATGAAAATATACCTAGGAGGCAGAAATTGTATTGTCATCAAATTAATTTGTTTTCTAAGCTCAAATTTAATTTAAAATGAGATATTTCTCCACTGGCTCAATCAACAGACTGTAAAGGGATTTTAGATAGAGAACCCAAATAAATAATGTTGAGCAAATAATCAACACAATAGTTGTTCTGTCTTCCGTTGCTTCTGATGCTTCTAGAAAGTATTTTTAACAACTTCCCTATGAATTGGCTCTTGATGGTATGAAGCCAGGCTTATCTCTGGCTCACACCTACAAAATTTTCTTCATCCTCATGTCCTATAACAAATCCACCTTGAAGACCTGCTGATTTCTTGGTCTCAGGGTTTCTCAGAACAGACTCTTCTTCATGCTCGCAGATGTGGGGGTGGGGTTCCCACAGCTGGGTTGCTGAAATGGCCTTCTCCTTAGAAAAACCACAGAGCAAAGGCATCTTCCTGAAATAAAGCTTTCATCAAGCCCTTTCTGTTATTAAACCTTCCGAGATCACATTGCTTAAAGGATAATATTTAAATACTGCTGTTGAGATCCCCATTGTCTCAGCTGGGCAAATGCATTAGCTTTCTTTCCAGACGATAATCCTCCACATCAGAGATTTTGCTACCGGGAATGTTTGGCTCTATCTCTGCCAACTCATGGCCACCACCTCCAATTCTTTCTCGAAAGATTTTCTTCTGGATATTCTCCTCGTTTAGTAGCTACTTAGCAAATAAACAACTACTGCTTTTTTATTTTATTTATTTATTTATTTTTAAAGATAACCGGTAAGGGGATCGTAACCCTTGACTAGGTGTTGTCAGCACCATGCTCTCCCAAGTGAGCTAACCGGCCATCCCTATATAGGGATCCGAACCGGTCGCCTTGGTGTTATCAGCACCGCACTCTCCCAAGTGAGCTAACCGGCCATCCCTATATAGGGATCCGAACCGGTCGCCTTGGTGTTATCAGCACCGCACTCTCCCAAGTGAGCTACGTGCTGGCCCCTACAACTACTGTTTTTAAGCTTTTAATTACATCAGTGTTTTTAAAATAAATTATCCAGGCCTAGGGATAAACAAGTTACAGAGGTTTTCATTCTTCAAGGAACCATCCAGTTATTTCACTTTGTGAGAAAGAGCACTCCAATTTTTATGTCTGCCTTTTCACTAGGAATCCACACTAGAAACAGCAAAATGACTCTTTATGGTGACCTCTAGCGGGCACGGGACAATGCTACAAAATTATGAAAAGTGGAGAGCAAAGTAAAAACCCTTCCCAGTAACCAGCCGGGTTGCTCTGGTCAGATGACCGCATCCCACTCCACTCCACCCCACCCAACCTTTCCCCACTCCACCCCACCTTTATTTTTTCTTCCACTATTTGTTTCGCATGAAACATAGTTTGCTTTACAACTCACCTGTGTCGCCTCTGGTGGGCTGGGCTGCCGCTATCGGATGTCGTGTGAATTGCTGGTAGCAGTTTAAAATGATCCCTGCCAAGTGGAACCCACTCCCTGGGCAAGAGTGCGGGGCAGGACGCTCTGCGGAGCTTCAAGGGGCTCTTCACGCTCCGAGGACCGGTGCTGCAGCCGGATCAGGGGTTCGGGGGGGAAATGAAGACCTTATGAAAGGAGGATGCAGACGAAGGCAACGAGAAATCATGCTTTTGCCAGTGCCAAGGCGATTCTCCCCAGACTTTCACCCCACTCTACGGTAACCGTCACGAGAGGGTCCGTGCACACTACACGTAGGCGCCTCCTCAGGACCAGGGCCCCAGAAAGCGGGGGCCGGGGCCGCTTCCCTCCGCGGGCCGGCAGGCGGCACCGAGGCTGGGGCCTGGGATGTGTGGCCGCCTTCGGAGCACGCGGTACGTGGGTCGCCCCGTGCGGGGAGAGGAAGAGCAAAGTCTGCAGGAAAAGCAGTGGCTGGGGTGCCTTCTCTGAGAAATCCTTTGGGTCGGTCCCAGAAACCCAGCTGGGTTCGGATAGTTTCTGGAAAAAGCTCTGCAAACGCCGTCTGTCCCCGCCCCTCAAACCCTGCACCTCAGTTCTCACCTCTGCAACCCTCCTTACCCTCCTGTCCCCTCCCTTTGGGGGCGCAAAAAGGGCCCTTGGGGGCTGTCCAAGTCATCCCGATGGCCCGGAGCGGTACGCGGGAGCAGGCACCCGGCCGCGGGGCTTGACTCCCCCTTCCCCCCAGGGCTCCCACTCCTCGCCTCCCCACGGCGGGCGGGAGCGGAGCGGGAGGACGGCGTCACGAGGCGGGGAGCCCGAGGTCCAGGGCGGGGCGCCGGGGAATCCCAGCCCGAGCGAGCCGGGGAGGTGCGGACGCGGGCGGGAAGAAGAAGGCGGCGCGCAGAGGGAGGTGAGCGGCGCGGAGCCGGCAGGCTAGGAGGAGGGCGGCGAGGGAGGCCCCGCCCCCGCTCTCCGCGCCGG